GGTACTGGCTGCTATTAAGGGTATGGTTGACCTCTCTGAGCCTGTCTTGCGAAAGGTGCTGCAATAGGAGGAATAGGTGTTGTTTCTCTCCCAGCCGCAAGAAACCCTTCCAACCCCCCGGGTGTGAATTCGAATAGGGGATTAATGACCTCCCTTGTGCCAAGTATGGCTTCGAACACGGGATTTGGAAACACTTTCATGCCATTTTCTTATGTTGGCCCAAATCCACCAATTTGTATGGCTTCGCTGTTAGGTAATGAGGCATTTTGATTTACCACAAGCCTCAAAAGAGGCTCATACCATGACTGAGGTATAGGTGATGGTCTTTCATAATTTTGATTACTAGTCTGACCATGAGTATGTCCATTACTTTGCATAGGTTGTTCATCTCTACCCAATCTTTGTTGAGGAACATTTGAATTTTTCTCCATATGCCTTGTGTTAATTGGTTGATGGGAATTAATTCAATCCATAAAGAATGTTGCCCATCTTTCCATTGTGTACATTAACTACTATCCCATGGCATCTACCAAGCCTCCCCATGAATTCATTGGCTTAGTAGATGGAACAGTGGATGGCCCAATTCCATGGCCTCATCCAATATTTTGAACATGTGGTGGATGTTCTGAATTGCTGGTTTGTTCGACCATAGGTTCTGATGAGATAAGTGCTTCCATAGGATGTGTTATCAAATTATCCTCTGGATCAGATACTTCTACCTCTCCTTCCATACCTTCTTCCAGGAATTCATTTTCTCTTTGTCTCCTACATCTAGCCATTTCAATTAGTCCCACTGGGCGTGCCAAAAAATATATGTTAGTTTTTTGGCTTTCGAAGGTTAATAATGTAATTTTAAGCGTGCTAGTAAGGATCAATCAGTTCTTACAGAATATTAATTGCCACCCAACTATCAGACGATTGTGTTTTAGTTCTCTCAGCCTCAACGATGAGGACTTTTACTGGTGGCTTGTTTAAGAGAATTTAGTAAATAATAACAAGTGAAGAATAATTTCAAAATCTGAATTTCATTATGTAAAATGAAAAACTTACAATGCTCTGACCCAGCCTCGTAGAGGTTTACAACAACAAGCTATTTGAAACTACTCCTAGGAATGAATTGCAGTACAGGAAATGAAGTGCAGAAATGTAAAGAATTATAAAAACTGGAAGGAAAAACGAAGTAAATAAATTGATTTTTTGATCTGAGTCCAGATTTTTCATTCTAGGGCCTTCTCTGCTATTTATACTTTCCAATGATAACTGTTGAAGTGGACTTTCCATCGTCGAAATGTCCTCCCATGACTTCTGAACATACTCTCTCACAGTCAGTCCCATTACACCACTCTTGCAGTTAGGCTTCCCTCCTGATTTTGAATTTAAACTTTATGAGTAACCGTTAGGCCATATCATCTTGTATTTTTTCGCTGATCCAGTACTACGCAGATCCATGATTACCAATATTAACTGCCACGTGTCTGATTTTGATTGAAGACTTGAATTAACTCTCCATGTTGCCCTCATCTCACCACATATTAAGCTGTGATTGGCCTATACAAAATATGTAGCCAAGACATGCATAGGCCATGTTTGGTTTCATTCTCTTCAAAAAAAAGAAATAGATATTTTTTGAAAAAATAGAAACTAGCTTGACAAACATAAATATTAAAAATATATTTTTAAAATTATTTTTACCCTTCAAAAGATAAAACTATATAAAAAAAATAAATACATTAATTTTTTAAATTTTTTTACGAAATTGATTTTTAATTATTTAGAAAGAAAAAAAATCGAAACAAATTCCTGAAAACTAAACCAAACATGTGGCCACTCTTTATGGGTTGTTGCTAGGGGTGAAAATTTGGCACGTAACCCTTTAACACGACTCGAATCGTACACATAATTAGAAGGTTAGGGATAATCATTTTTTTTACTCGAACCCGAATATGACACGACTTAAAAACATGAATATTAAATGGGTCAAGTTTGGATTGAACACGCGAAACCCGAAATGGACACGTTTGATCTACATAAAAATTCATTCGTATCGACACGTTGACAGAACCCACGCATGTAACCCGAATACAACTTGAATTTAGTAACCATAAGATCTTAAGTAATTCATTATTAGATTAAAACTTAAATCTTTATATAACATATATACCTAATAAAATGCAACCTTAAATTAATGATAAATCGACTGTTCAGCTATAATTTGATAAATTGTTTGCCTCTCTTAAAATCTTCAAGAATTCTTCAGTCTTCAGTTAAGCAAAGGCCATAAAACTTTTTTTTTTTTATTCTTCTTGGCATACAAGTTACAGCATGCGATGATGAGTCAATGTGATTAACAATTATAATATATTTTGTTACTTTATTAATATTTTTTATGTTACGATTTTGGTTCATTTTGTTTGATTTGGTTAGTTTATTAATATTTTGTGTTATAGTTATTATTCCCTTTGTTTGATTTAATTTTTAAAATTTGTTCTATGAATTTTTTTACAAATTATAAATTAGTTTGATAAAAATATAAATAAAAAATTATTCATCTCAAAAAAAATTAATATAAAAATAATGAGTATTTTTTAATTTTTTTCCAACAAACTATTTTTCATGTTTAATTAATTTTTTTCAAAAGAAAAACAGATTTTAAAAACCAAAACATTATATTTTGTAGATTTTTTTTTATTTTTTTTGGCTAATCGTATTAAGCATGCTATGTTAAGGTTAACACGATTATAAGTAGGTCAGGTCAATATCAAGATAATTGACACATTTAATTAAACGAGCAATATTAATGTTGGATTGTTTTGAATACAAATCCAATATGACACAGTACAATACACCATCCCTGGTTGTTGGGGGCATATTACTAGACTCATGGTGTGTTTGGTCGATCACACCTTTTATTGAACCTACATTTTAAAGATAGAAATAATAATTATACATAATTAAAATTTTAAAAACATTTTTAAAAAATTTAATGTGTGATTGAGATTCATTTTAAATATTATATGAGTCATATTTAAAATTAAATTAAATTACACATGCAAAATTTATATATACATTTTTTTACTTTTTAATTTTTTACATATAGCATTGCTATATGAATGGCTTGTGATGCGACATGTGAAATAGGTGTTGGGCTAAGCAAGTCCGGATCCTTTGTCAGGCTTTCTTGCCGGACTTCTTGTGGTGGTGCCGAAACGACGTCGTTTTGGCACTTTTTTTTCTTTTTTTTTGGATCTTTTTTCCCTTCTTTTCTTCTCTCTCTCAGCTCTCAAACCACTGAAGGAAGTTGGGGGGTTAGTGTTGGAAGAGAATGGCAACGACTTAGATAGGGGTAGCCACCGCCCACGAGAGTGGGGTTGGGATGGAAGAATCCGACATTCTCCTTCTCTCCTTCGTTTTTCTAAATTTTACTTAAAATTTCAACAAAATCAAAGTGACTAAATATACACATGATATCCAAAATATGTATATTTTGTTTCATTTTGGACCCCTGACGTATGTATTTTCATCTCCAACCTCTTAATTTTGTTCAATTTTTTACGAAATTAAAAAAAAATTCCCTGATATTGATTTTGAAAGTGGCTAATATCAGAAAATAAAATATTTAAAATGAAAAAAATAAGAAGTTTAAAAGTATAACAGATCGCATACTTTCAGAACTATTGGTGTAATTAACTCAAATTGGATGATGGAAATGGCAAGACATGCGTGGGCCAAGTGTATGATGGACCTAGGACCATGAGAATCCACACAATATTACTACCAAGTAGTGTATACAAAATTCAGTTATAAAAAATTTTTTAAAAAAATGAGTATTATATACAAAAAGCTTGTGGTTCCCTCTAGGGTGAGCAAGACATTTGGGATCCAAGGCAAATGGCCCCAACAAAGGCAACACAGGCACACACACCTGTCTAGTCTCTCTGGTCATTTGTCATTCCATTTGGGCATTTTAGTTGTGGATACAAGCTTGATCATGTGTATCAAAGCCATCCATGAATTCAGATATTGGATTTGATGGCACATGCAGGCCCATGGGCCTTTTCTGAATTGAATTCTAATTGGTCTATTTGTCCTGGGTCAAGGGTCTTCCATTTCAGTCCAGCCCTAATCCAAAGTGATAGCCTAGCCCAATATATTTTGGATGTAACCAATCCAAGGCCTATCTTAATGGTGTGATGTTTTGTGATTTATCCACAATGTTCAGTCCCCTCTTATTCCGTAGACAAATAATCAAAGACAATATTCTCGGAATACAAGATTATTACTCCTCAAACTAAGGCTTCATTTGGAATTTAAATGTCAATAAAAATGAAAGAAATTATTGTGATCTCTCATCTTGTCCCAAAAAAAATAATAATAATAATAATAATTGTCTTTTTTCATTATCTGTTTTGAATGAAAAAAAGTAAAATCCAGATCCAATCCACTACATTGTTGTAATGAAGAAACTTTATCACATCATCCAACAGTTATCTAACAGTTGCAAAATAATGTGTATTTATCTTATTTTAAATTAAGGAAAAGCCATAAACCATTATTGACACATATTTCACAATCTTTGGATCATATAATAGAGATCCTCTATTGCACCTGTATAATAGAGAAGATACCAATCCGAAAAAACGACGTGAAATAAGAAATGATTAGTTTCTTTTTATTTCTTTATATTTTGATGGATAATCTTGGTTTTATAAATAAATACAAAAATATGCAACCAAGTAACTTGGTTTCTCACATGTCAACAATTCTCATCTTTTTTTCATCATTTCTTATCTAAGTTGTAAACCAAACATGAGAAAGTTCTTTTTTTTTTTCTCATCATTTCTTATCAAAATCATTGAGATTCGCATATGGCAACATATCATACTAACTTTGTCAGAAAATAACCTCACTGAGTGGGGGCAAATTAAAATCATGGAACATCAAAGCTGATCATAGCTACAATCAAAATGTGTGTGTGTGTGTGTGTGTGAGAGAGAGAGAGAGAGAGAACCTGATCATTGCTGCAATATCAACTGGTTATTGTATGATTTCATGCCAAAATTTTGTAAGATAATATTAGCAAATTATACATCTCATAAATAATGGTCAACGAAATGGGCCAAGTACAACATGCTCTGGAGATCATCAACTCTGTTGGGGTGCTATTTGTCTCTGCTCTGACCCTGTATTGGACCAGTAATCAAAATAAACTTCTCTTCTCCTCCCTTCAGCCTCAACTCAAACGTTGCGGTCCTGCAAAACCCTAAGAACCTCTTTCTTGTCCAGGATCTCACCAAAAAAAAGCAAGCAAAATAGAGTATTCTACAACTTAGAAACACAATTGTTTGTAAATTATACACATTTTGCCAAAGGAATATGCATTTCCAGAATCCGGTGGAGGTTGATCTGGGGAAAAGAAAACTCAATCTCAACCTCGAAATGGCCTTCCATGGTTAGCTGTCTTCCACTCCTTTCATCCGGGTATATTTTATAAGCTGTGGAATGGATTTGTACAGCTTTAGCAACCAAAAAAGGTAAACCATTTACGATACCTTAATGGATGACAAGGTCGTTCAATGCCTCGATTTTGTCCAGCTCTCCGTTCGAAGAAATATAATCCGCACCATGACTTGCATCCGGATGGGTTGCACCACCATTTTCAGGGTTCTTGCGTATCTGGTTATAAGTTGAGTTTGAGATGGCAGAGCTGCGTTTGCCTTCAAAGTATGTGGAGTATGGGAAGTACTCAGCACATCGCACTTTCCATCCTACAAGAAATATTCAAATTTCATACATCACAATTTTGAAGTGTTTGTCACAGGAGCTAAATATTAGAGAGCGGTGGAGATTAAAGAGATGTTTTTAAGCTTCATATTGGCATGTTAAGGAAAGTGAAGCTCAATCAATATAATCAACTGTAAACACCATGCAAAATCCTATTTCTTCATTTGCCCGTCTCTTTGTGTTTTGAAATATGGAATTTTACTAAGAGTTACTCGTGTCTTAGCCCAGCCAACAACATAAGCAAATAGAACTCTTGGATATATTATGGTGCCGGCAAATTGCGAGTCTAGGAAAAGAAAATAATAACTTAAATGTAAAATTAAAAACCGTATTCTGAACTCCCAACGTGATAATACCAAAAATGAATGATCAAAAATACATGATTGAGCAAAGAATTTGACTTACAACATGAGTTTATTGATAAAATCAGTTCTGTAAATGCAATGGTGTTAAAATGTAGAACTTTTCAAGTGATTAACTAGAAGGCATACAGCAAAGATAAAGACAAAGAAGTGGTACACTAAAAAAAAGCATAGGGTTTATGTCATGAGATAAATAATGAGAGTTTCTAGAACAAATTGGATGAGATTAGCTATATGAAATAAGGGTTACTTACACAAAGACCCCCTAAACTATTGAGAAGTATCAATTTGACCCCCTAAATTATGAAAGCGTACAAATAAACCCCCTAAACTATTGAGAAGTATCATTTCGCCCTCTAAACTATAAAAGCATACAAATGTTCCTAAATTATAAAAACGTACTAATTGAACCGTTAACGGAAGGGGTCAAAATGAAACACGCCAATAGTTTAGGGGGTTCATTTGTACGTTTTTATAGTTTAGTGGGGCAAAGTGATACTTCTCAATAGTTTAGAAGATCTATTTGTATGCTTTTATAATTTAAGGGATCAAAGTGATACTTCTCAATAGTTTAGGGGGTCTCTATGTAAATAACCCTATGAAATAACTAACATGTAACTGACATACAGATGTAATCAAGATGAAAAAGATTGAACAATCAGTCTCAGTTTTGAGCTCTTAAGTTTATGCATATTTCACCAAATGATCGTTTCATGTATTGTTAGTTGATGAAGCAAGCTCGAGCATGGTCTTGATTAAATTATGTAGATATGTTTTTGTATATGAGAGTTTAGAAAAAGTTAAGAATACTCTGCAGCTTCATCCCTTCCAAGAATGTATAAGATCCAAAACACACCAAGAAAACACTCACATCAACCTAAATAAGCCAAGAACCATGGACCAAAGGGCTCTTGTCACCATACAATAAGTAAGAACTTAGAAGGTAATGGACTCATTCCCAATTTTTCTTACACAGACAATTCCAATTAACATGAATTTGTTTCTCCTAATTAAGTTATAAATGGTATAGATTTTACCAAGTCACCATCCACACAAAGAGGTGACCTTAGACAGTGCCTAAAATACGCAAATGTCTCTCCAAGGAAATGAAGATCCTCTATGACTTACCAAGGCTTTATAGATAGATTCATCACAAAATTGCCGGACCTCATTCTGCTCCATCTCAAAGCATCCTATCCCTCTCCAATCTGGGGAATACCATAAAAAAGCTCAAGAAGATCCACCAATTCCCCCACCTCCCAAACATTCAACTCTCCGTGAAAGGCAATGTATCCCAAGAACACTTCTGCACCTTCTTTCCAGATATAACTACTACAGGCTCCTCTATTTATAACAACACAAGCAAGTGATGGGCTTGTCTACTCAAGCTTCTCTTCCCAGTTCCCACAGGAAAGATGACTCCAAAAGTGCATACTATTCTTGATGACTATCCTCGCGAGACCCCAAATTATTCCAACCTAGATGCCCTTCCATATGCACTTTTCAAATAATATATTAACCGCCATCTGGGAAGCATGAATACGGATACAAGATACGGATATGATATCAATACCGATATGGCAATATGGCAAAACCTAAAAAATTAGGATACGAGTACGACTAGGATACGTTTATAAAAAGCATATTTTTTAAAATTATTAGTAGTGAGTTACAAATAAACTACAGAATGTTGAGAAACTGTACTGTAATTTTATAATGCAAAATATTAACCTTTAAGAATTATGTATTAATTTACGTTAGTAACTTGTTTACTTTTTACATTTTCAATAGGTCTTGCAAATATTTCATTTCAATATCAAGTTACTATGTTTATATTACAATAATAGAACAATTCACAACTTGTCTCTATGCTTTTCCCTTTGGCAGTAGTAAAAAAATTTTATATTCATGTTTACTTGCTTATTTATTTATTGATATTTAATTTTCCTATTGTTATATTCTCTTACTAATTTTCTATGTAGTTATAGGGGACATGCATGAAACAATAAAGATATATCAATCAGACAAATTCTATTACTTTTAACTCAATATATTATTCTTATATAAAAACTAAACAAAGTATTAGAAAAATATTTTTGTATTTATCCTTCCAATTATATTATATTATAATAATATGCAAGAAATGCTACAATTCCAATTTTGTAAAAAGAAGTAATACGTGACTTGAAGTATTCAATACTTTAATATTAGGGGGGACTTACGTGTAGATCCTAATAGGTAAACTTATTGTCCAATAGGTCCTATGATAATTAATGGTATTTTTCATCAAACACTATTAAAAAATGTCACTAATTGTTAATTTTCAACGATAGCTTGAAAATTGAAATTTGTCATAAAAAATGTCACTAATTATAAATTTAAGCATTAGTTTAGAAAAATGTCACTAATTTTCAACTTTCAGTGACAGTTTGAGAATTTTAACATAGATAAACGTCACTAATAGTAATTTTTAGCGACAATTTATAAAAATCGTGACCAAAAAAAGTCACTAATTGTCAATTTTTAACGACATACAAAAAATCGTCGCAAGAAATATTTTTAATGACGATTTTATTATGACTTATTTTCAATAGGACTATATGGAAATTAAGTCCAACTATTAGGACCTATTGGTAGTTTACCCTTAATATTAATATTAAGTATCCAATACTCCAAAATTAATGAAAATTGAATTAAGAAATATTCGATACTTTTAATAAGTATCTGATACGTATCCGCAAGTATCCAAGGAGTATTGGTATCCGATATGGATACGTCACCCTTTTTGATGTATCAGTGCTTTATAGACCGCCATCAGAGACCAATCCCCCCATGTAGAGTCATATTTCAAAGTAACTACCCTTCTCCAATACCAATCATGTTCACAACATATCTACAAAGCCATTTTCACAATAAACCAAATGTTATTTCAACTTGTTCAAATACAACACCCCACAGCAAATCATTTTGCATCCTTTCACGCTTCTTAGCAAACAAAGAAGGGATGGTGAACAAACAAATAAAATAGGCAGGCAAACTCAATAGAGTGCTTTTATAATAGAACAAGCTTCACATAAATAATGCTTCACATAAATAATTATAGATAAAACCCACCAAAGCTAGCTGCTTGTGGGCAAGAATGTAACTAGTTCATATTCCACATCTTAATTCATATTGCAGACTTACTCGATGCAGAATTGGGGTCATCCAAAACTGTCCCAAGAAGTTTATGAACTGCAATGCACTCTTCGAGTTTCCATTTCCCGACTGGCCCAAGTGCTCCATTTCTAATTTCATGAAACATGCTGAGTTTCAATGTTCAATCATTGGTTGAAGGTATCAAAGCAAAAATGCCTCACAAAATACCAGTTAAAAAACAAGTTTATTGAAGCTTAATCTACTAAGAGACATTACGTTGACACCGGGTTGTTGGATGAATCTTCTATTAATTTGATGGCATCGGCCTTCTTGCAACGATCCAAAACAAATAGAATTTCTGCAACTGCTGCTCTATGCATCAAGGGGTCTGCAAAATGCAAGCCAAGGTGAAATACTACAAACGAAAGGGTATTCATGCAAGTGCATATTAGATGGGGTAGATGATGACCTTTATGCGTTTTAAGGAAAAGGGTGTTTGCCTCGATAAGAGATTTCTCGTGCAACAGACTACAGAAAAAGTAAAATCAAATCATTTGAGCCATTACTAAACAATTTTCATGGGTTGAAAAAGAAAACAAAAGGAGTACCAAGAGAACCTGAAAGTAGGCCGCTCTGCTTCTAAGACAGCCCAAATAAGTTTTTCAGCATCAGTCTCTAAAGTAGGCACAGCCCCCACCTTATGGAAGAATCTTATCTGCGAAAAACAATGTTTATACTTAAGCACAGGCAAGTAGCAGGCCCTTTGACATACTTGAGGTACTGCATCAATTAGACACCAGCTCGGTGGAGAAGAAACAAAAAAAATGGGCACTCAGTGATAAAATGTGTAATTGTACTGTGATATTGCAAAAGCTTTTGTTTCCATGCTCATTCAATTAGGTATTGACAGAGATGCATACCAAACAGCGATGTGAGTCTGGGTTTTCAGCATCCAACCGTTGAAGTTGCTTTACAGCCTTCAGAGGAAAAAAGAAAAATAAAGAAACTGCATTCAGCCACTTCTCTAGCAGAACATGTAATTAAAAATACATACCAATTTCATTGGTAAACACTTGCTTTTTCCCAAGATGTTTTAATAATTTATCATAGTTTTTAAACATTCAGTGGAACAGATTTCCAGTTCGGCAAAAAATTAAATGCTGATATTACCTTTAGTTGACATGATACAACCAAATAATACAATGGATGAGTGATTTTTTTTTTTTTTTTCAAAAATAAAATGTGTAGCGTAACAAGTTCCACACTAGATATAAAACTACCTGCAAGGCGAGCAGAATTTTTTGCTTTCTCATATTTAGTTCAAAAGAAAGCAAGTGTGTCTCCAAGGAGTCAGGAGAGTGCTTCTGAAGCAGCTTCAAGTACTTTGTAGCTTCCAGCAGCGGATCTTCAACCTACATCAATGAACATACACAAGTTCAGAAATTGTTGTCTATATTAGAATGTAAGAGATAATCTAAAATAAGAACCAAAAGCCCCAGTAAGCAGTCAAAAACCTCATCCTAAGCAGACAGAATAAGGTGAGAAAAAAAATATAACCTGCATCAACTTCTCCCCATTTGGATCAGGATCTACTGGTTTAACATGTCGTTTTCCAGACTTAGAGACACCACTAACATTTGTTTCTTCATTTTTTACTTCTGCCTCCTAAAAAATGAAGAAGATTAGGATGCAAGCTAGATAAATTTTAAGATGCCAGACAAACAAAACTAAATTACTTTCTTAGCTCGAGCTTCTGCCTTCCTCTGCTTTTGCCTCATTTTCTTCTTCTGAGAAGGAGGTAACTTTGACATTTCATCATCTTCTTCAGCCGCTGACTTTGACGGTGAATCATACAGTTTTATGTAGCACCTGCACCTCAATTCGGATAATTATTAATGTGAACACAGGACAAGAATCAAGTTTCGGGTGATCAAAGAGAGATGAATATTATGACAGAACAAGAGGTACACCGGTGATGGAGTCAAGACAACCAAACATCTCAAAACAATTCAGTTAATTATCCAAAAATCTAATTAGCAGTGCACATTAAGGCACATTGACATGCACAAGTAGTAGTTGGAAAAAAAATACAAAACAAAACAAAATAACCAAACACTTCATTTTGCAAATCATCTTATTGTCTCATTACTGGAACTTAATGAAGAGCTTCACCTGATAGCTCCAGCTGCAGCTTTGCGAAAATAATCATGTGAATGTAGTCGATCTTGAAATTTCAGCATTTCTACATAGGTTCGCAAAGTCATCTTTCTTAAGCAGTAAGAGTGGAAATCAAATTGGTCTTCAGTGATATCTGCATAATGCTTCTCCACAGATAAGAATTTTTTCAAAGCTCGTCCAAGGTCACCTTGACGGAAGTAACTTTCTCCAGAAGCGAGTTCATACCTTCAAAAGATTGATATTTTAACATAATTAAAAGGTGCAATCAAATAACAATACACCCACTTCTAATGCTAAAAAATAAAAAAGTAGGGCTACAAAATAGACGCACCACATGCACTGCATGTCATGAAGGTTATTGTGCTGATCTCCATCTTTTGTGAACAACACAGCTGTCTTCTCTGCCAGCGACACCTTCAACAAGGGTGGTTCCATATAAAATCATAATCAGTACAGAGGAAACTTACACGAGGGAAAAACAAATTAGACAAGAGCATAAATATGCAGCTATGAAGCACGGACACTGGTCATGAAGGTTATTGTGCTGATCTCCATCTTTTGTGAACAACACAGCTGTCTTCTCTGCCAGCGACACCTTCAACAAGGGTGGTTCCATATAAAATCATAATCAGTACAGAGGAAACTTACACGAGGGAAAAACAAATTAGACAAGAGCATAAATATGCAGGCTCTGTTACCTGATCAGCTTCCAGCATTCGTTTAACACATTCACTATTTACATAGCGATCTGCAAGATCCATACACCTAGCTTCATCTGCCAGAGCAGCAGCCGCTACCAAGTCACCAGCATGCTTTAATATCCGGCCCTGTGATCAATAACCACATTATTATTTTTTAACAGAATCAGGACTACTAATCCAAGAATCTCTTGAAAGTTTTATCTTCCTTATAGTGTATGGCATTCCAAATAAATGAACACTCATTTCTTAAATAAAGAATAAAACCAAACTAAAACCGTAACTGCCAATGTTGTAGATCAAACAACTATAGCTGAATATACAAGGTATTAGTATTTGCAGACCTTGACGGAGTATAAATCAATCACAGTTGGAGTATGTTCAATAGCTTCATCAATTTTAGCAAGGGCAATATCATATTGGCCCCGTCTGTCATAGTGCTGCATAAAACATTAACTCTTAGTGAAGTTACAAAAAAAATTATAAAAATAATAATAGTAACAAATGTCAATGTCAATATCAATATCAATATAAAAGAAGCACAGAAGACATCAACTAATTATAAAAACAACCACAATATACCTGAGCCAAATAGAAAAAAGTCCACAGCATTGTTGAAGGGGGCTCCTTCTCCGTCCTGCACACCAGATGTAATGCAAGCAAACAGAGTGAATAGGAAGAACTATTTTAACTTTCAACATATTACCAGCTTCATATATTACATAGCATGTCCAACACAGTTACCTTACTGGCACCCATAAATGCCAAAAAAAAAAAAAAAAACTTGTTTTTTTTTTTGGGGGGGTTTGGTTACCCATTTTATGAATCTATTTTTCTTGGAGCACACACACTTACACAAGAGCTGAGGACATATAAGTCTTACCTCCCAGGGTATCCACCAGTAGTCCTAACTGAATGCTCCAATTCAAGAATCAGTTGCTCTAGCATGTCTGCCTGAATAAGAAATATAAAAGCTACATACATATCAACTTCTAAAGAGGAATTCCAACTGTTTCATCAGATCATCAATAGAAGTGACTGCACTAACCTTGCCAGGGTGATCATACAAAGGAGAAAGATCGGAGAATAGTGAAGGAACTCCCTAAGAGCAAAACAAAGTGCAATTGTAAGTTTTGTTCCTTATAAGCTTAACAAGTCAAAAGTAACACAAATAAAGAACTAGGGATACCTTCGTCAGGAGAGGCTTAATATAATTATCGGCTGCCTCAAGGAACTTTTTACCATTTAGAAAATCAAGTGGTATTCTCTGACATAAAAAGGGTAAAAAGAAGTTTAATATAACTCCTGGAAACCACTCAAAAACATAAGAAATTGGAAACAAAACTAAAATAAATTCCCACCGACACAAATTCATAGCTAAGAATTTCTTACATACATGAAGTAGCAGTCTAAGTAATATCAGAAAACCTGCTAATGAGAGCCATAACAAAGGCGCACTTAATAGTGAACCGGAGCCAAAATGTTATAACAGATTCATGTAAAACTGATAACTGGCAATTCTATCTTCTGTACCAATCTGATTAGGCTTATTAGCTAATAGGCACCGAAATTCTCATTCTTAATTTATTAAAAGCAATGGCTTTATTAACAAGAGAAGAAAATACAAGCAGCTAATTCTGAAGAATTTTCACAACTCACAACCTGTTAAAACAATAATGTAATGAGCTTTCTAAATAATCTCAAGTACAAGTCAGCATACATACACGAATTCTAATTTCTCCAAATTTACATCGCAATATGAATATTTATAGGGAAAATAGTCATTCAACCACCTTAGTTGCATAATAAATATATATATGCTAGATATTTTTTATCTTCAACATTAACAGCAGATATATTCAGAAAAATACTAGTATTAATGAGATTGAGAGTTTTGCACCCCTCTAATGAGCCAGAACGAACTTGATGAAACCATGTAACTAACAGCATCTAACACATTACTATTTCCTAAAATATGTTCTTCCTTGAAAACACCATCATTATATATTGAGAGCATATCCCTTGACTGTAACATGTCGTGTCCATGTAACCCTATGGTAGCAACAAAAATCATGGTGTTCACTGAGATGAGAATAAACTTGGTTTTCTGACTCATGCTGCTTCTGTGTTATACTTGACCGCAAGATGTCCTGTTTTAGAGCCAACAGGTAGGGCTGCAAATGAACCAAGTTGTTCATGAACAAGCTCGGCTCGGCTCGGCTCGGCTCGGCTCGTTAAGGGCTCGACTTGGCTCATTTAGTAAATGAGTCGAGCTCAATCTCGCATAAGCTCAGCTCGTTTATCATTATTTAAATTATATAATAAATAGATTATTTATATATTAAATAATATATAATATATTATTTATATATTAAATAATTAAAATAATATATTAAAATATATATTAAATAATATAAATAATATTTTTTATTTAAATAATATAAATAATATTTAAAAAAATTTATCGAGCCGAGCTCGAGTTTTATTAATATTAATGAGCCGAGCCGAGCCGAGCCGATAAAAAAAAACGAGCCGAGCTCAAGCTCAGCTCGGCTTGGCTTGGTTCGTGCAGCCCTACCAACAGGCCATGGGCCATGATTCAATGACTAAGGATTTAGCCTAGTTTTACAATGCTTTAAATTCAAAAATTGTAAAAACATAGGAAAAACCCCAGGCCTTCATACTATCATCTAACAGTTTTTTACAGCACAACATATCCAGAGCTATCTCTCTTCCAATAAAGATCATTTATTTATTTATTATTTATTTTTTTGCTAATAAAAAGAGTTCCAAAATATTATACAAGCTAAGAAAACAATGATACAGAACGCCCCCTACTCATAAGAGATAATTTTCCCCAAAGCAAAACACAAGCAATTTCCCAATGGCAGGCAGCAAGGTCCTTTGGTGAGTCTTCACCTTGACAACTACCTTATTGTACTTTCACCGTTTATCCACAAAAATTTTTTTTTTAACAGGGGATAACTAATTATAAAATAGGACGACAAGCGAGCGTCACCCCTGTACATCAACGGTATACAAAAAGAAAATAAAATCAAAGGGAAAAAAAGGAACTATAAACCCTCCTATAAAATCAACCAACAAAAAAGAAGATTTATGAAACTTCTCCAATCAAATTTCCAATGAATTAATAAATGTTCCATTTTCAATTAATGGATTAAGGTACCAACTCCCTGAGAAATCACAAACGAAGAGGGATGTCACCTTAACAGCAGATGAACGACTGTATTGCTGCCCCAGTGATTTGTACAAGGCCTCCAACCTACCAATCTCATCAGACGAATAGTGGTGACCTTCTGATAGTAAACCCACACACTTGTGTAGCCCTTCATAATATCTAAAGACAGAAAACAAAAAACAGAACGTAGTAGTTAGCACTTCTAAAAAACAAGTTATACAAAGCAAAAACGCAACCCCTTCCCCTGTTCTTCCTTTCCCATAAAACCAAGAATAATCATAATAACAATAAGACTGATAATAGTAGAAGAAAAAACACCGAAGGGGAGTATTAGAACATCTCTAATGGCTTGCCCACGTGCCTCCATAAATGGGTACCTACGTACGGGGAAGATCTATGAAGCACGGATACTTCAAATAGGGTGACGTATCCGTATCATATCTGTATCGAATACCGATACTCCTTGGATACTCGCGGATACGTATGGGATACTTATTAAAAGTATCAGGTACTTCTTAATTACTTTTTCATTAATTTTAGAGTATCGGATACGTAATTTTGAAGTATCGGATACTCCAAGTCATATTTACTTAGAATTGTAACATTTCTAGCATAGTAATATAATATAATATAATTGCAAGTATAAATATAAGAATATTTTTCTAATACTTTGTTAAGTTCTTTGATAATAAGAGCATAGTGAGTTAAATAATAGAATTTATCAAATTGATGTATCCTAATTATTTCATACATGTCCCCTAAATTACATAGAAAGTAAGAATTAACAAGAGAATATAACAATGGTAAAATTAAATATCAATAAATAAACAAGCAAGTAAACTTGAATACAATATTTTTCACTAGTGTCAAAGGAAAAAGCATAGGGACAAGTTGTGAATTGTTCTATTATTGTAATATAAATATATTAAACTTGATATTGAAATGAAATATTTACAAAACCTATTAAAAATTTTAAAAGTAAACAAGCTACTAGCTTAAATTAATACAAAATTCTTAAGTTAGTATTTTGCATTATAAAATTACATTGTAGTTTCTCAACGTTCTTTAGCTTATGTGTACTCACTATTAATAATTTTAAAATATATATTTTTCACAAACGTAGCTATTTTTTTAAGTTTTGTCATATCGCCGTATCCATATCGTGTCGTATCCGTATCTATGCTTCCTAGGGTGAAAGATATATATGGCATTTTTGTTCTCAGGAGCCATGCAATGAAAAACAAAAATGTGAGAGGAGAGGGAGGAGGGAGGATGATCGATTGGCTTCATAGAAAACAACAAAACACAAAATGTTATGTTTAGGCAAAAAGGATAATTGGCTCTATGCTCACCACATGACAAATATATGCAGAAAATAACTTATCGGTTTTTCAAATTATATTGAATCATCCATCCATATTCATAGCATAATTGACAAAATAATAAAATCTGGAAACCACTCTCTGAGAACCCAATTTGAGGACCTTGATAGTTGTTCACTTGTCTACTAGATTTCGGTATGAAAAATAGTATCCTCCTAATTACTTAGCAGAATATTATTCCCCTGTAAATAAGCCTTTGAAACTCTGAGCATAAAATAACTGGCTCTGGCTGGTTTCCTCAAATATTTCAACTTCTATTATCATAACAAATATCAATTTACCACCACCACTGAAGTTATTAACAGATAATATTTCATAGAAGCTATTTTATCACTAGAGTGCAAAATAAATAAATAAAATGATCACCCATTGGTAGCGAAACGAACATTTTTAATTAGATGGTCATAGCCGCAAAAACTCTCTAACAACATATTTATATACCTGTAATTGTCAGGGTTCATGGAAAGCAGCACTCTATACAATTTTTCACCATCTTCTAGGCGACCAAGCTTCACAAGAAGCGAAACTTCTTGTTCCTTTAAAGATAGTTTATCAACCTAGGAAGACACATACAGGAGTAAGTTTAACATCTGAGGTCTATACAACTAGACTTGAAAATTATGTTGAATATTCTCACAATTTTATACTCTTTTCTGTGCATCTCCGCAAGAGCTCTCTCAAGAAATCCGCATTCTTCCATCAATGAAATCTGGAGGAAAATATCCAGGCAAACAACAATTAAAATGGTATGTCTAACAATATAGTCATTTTTGTAGCCAAGTAATAAAAAAAGAGGACTCCAATGACCACCATCTTTCACATGATATCTTGGTTTTACACTTCTGTCAACTACTGCAACTTTCATATTAGTTAATAGAGGACGCAAATATTCACACACACAGCAAATATCACATTCACTCGTGTTGCTTTGTACGGCAAATATGCATTTTCATTTTGGACATTTGGCATGCTCATTGAGACTAATTGTTTCCCATTTAGGAGTAATTCAACCTCAACTTGATTTGTTGTCCCATACTAAATCGACATTCCTTTTTAAGTCATTTTCTTTTCTTTCTTTTTTTTTTTAATTCGAAAGAAAAGCAATAGAGATAAAGCCCACGTACACTTGGTACACGCAAAACAAAGGAAAAGCAGATATTAACCGTTGGATTCCAACAAATGGATTGCCTCTTTCTAAAGCATTGGGGAATACTCCACAATACTATCTCTTCTTCTAATTTTACCATAATAATGCATGTAGAATGCCACTTCAACCATTTCTATCCTCTTGTTAATGACCTTAATCCACGAATTAAAAGAAACTCAAAAAATTGAAAGAGGAAGAATAAGCAAAATTGTAGAAATAATGTCAATTAAAGCCACAAGTGTATAAACATCATAAAGTAAAAAATGACTGACTTCACAATAGATCAGTGTTGGTAAAAGGGTGTTTAAAGCGCAACAGTAGAAGAGCTTTTAGTTGTTAAAGCGAAAAGCATTTACAAAAACACGTTTTCCTTAAGACACGCTTTTTTGCCCTTCTATTTTTTGTTTAAAAAATATAATTTGTTAGTTTGAACTTTTAGATCATAATAGTATTGCATGGGGCCTTGATGATTATTATACACTTTTGGATGTATTGTATTGCATTGTGTATGCTAGGCACAAAAGCCACTCTTACCACTAGTGCTTTTTGGTTTTTACCTTTCTAGTATATTTTGATTCAACAATGTACTTCGTTTTGATTATGACTACGATGGTTGTGAATATTAAGTAAAGCACAAGCGAAATTATATAAATCTATGTTTAAATGCTATATGATTAGTTGGTCACTTGATTGTCATATTAACCATTAATAACTGTTTTCAAATTTACTCATAGAATTTTAAGAAACTGAACAATCCTATGTAAAATTTTTCCTACAATATTTATACAAATACATAAGACTAACAATTTTAGATAAAAGACTAAACATATTATTATTTGATTTTTTTTTTTTAATTTTAAATATATAGTATGAATCTGTAGACATTATACATTAATTTGCTAAAATGTGTGTTTTACTTTAATCAAGCTTGCACTTGCGATTTGCATCTCGGCTCCAGAAGACCTTTTTGCTTTGTGCGCCTCATGCTTTCACCAACGTTGCAATGGACATATGCCAAAGCTCTCATAATAATACCAAAATTAGCTACTGACCATTTTCCAACACTGCTTCAGATCAAAGTCTTGTCTACAAAATGTTAGGGACTCCTAAACTTTAGCATGTTCAACGAAAGTATAACGATATCAGATCCAGTAATTGAAATCTGAACTGGACGTGTCTATAAATACATGTGTATCTACATGGCAAATCTTTGTGTATATATATAAATAAAACCTAAGCCTATCGAAACATGTTTGCACCAAGCAGCCCAAGGGTGGGGAAAAATTAAATCAACAATTTGAGAGAAATAAACCATTCACTGAGACTGAGTGTCATAGTTATTACCTTGTATAACAACATTTCCCCATGTTCACAACGTTCATTATCTGGTGGGTAATCGTCCTCAAGTGTCCCCTCATATGCTTCAAGGATATCAATTGATTTTGAAGCACTGGTAAATAAACCAAAAAAACAGAGCAAATAATTACAGCAGGGATGCTTATCCAAAAATAAAATTAAAAAAAATAAAACAGGAACAAAATGAGATATCGAACTTTAGCTTTAGAAAAATGTAAAACCAACAATTTGAAGCAGGTAACAAACGCAAAAATTGAAAAGTAATGATCCCATTATGGGTAATCGTCCTCAAGTGTCCCCTCATATGCTTCAAGGATATCAATTGATTTTGAAGCACTGGTAAATAAACCAAAAAAACAGAGCAAATAATTACAGCAGGGATGCTTATCCAAAAATAAAATTAAAAAAAATAAAACAGGAACAAAATGAGATCTCGAACTTTAGTTTTAGAAAAATGTAAAACTAACAATTTGAAGCAGGTAACAAACGCAAAAATTGAAAAGTAATGATGCCATTATTTAATTAAGCATGAAATAAATTAAAATTCTGTTTATTACAATTGTGAACAGAAGAACATCTTAAAAAAAAAAAAAAAAAAAACTCTAGGTAGTAGCAACTGGTATCTATCATTAAGAGCAGTCTTCATGATATGCAAAATCAATTAACAAAATTGGGCAAAGTTTTCCATGTAATCCATGCAGAGTAGGGACCATAGGACTCTGGTGTGCTTGTGGCTCTCCGTAATGTGGTTTTCAAGAGTCAAACTCTCCATTAATGAATAGGAGGGACCGTAAGAAGCAAGCCACATGAAGAAAGATCACCACACATCTCCAACTGGGGCCAGTACTGTGCTTTCCCTTTACAGAGAAGACCAGAACATAGAGAAAAATACCATTCATCAACATGCAAGGCATTCCATACTTTACCCTGAGAGAGATAATTGCATCCTTTCAACCATTATTTACTGTATGACTTTCCACAGTTCTAATTTTTAAGACACCTGAACATCCATGCTGACAGAACATTACTTGTATTTACGTCTGTTCTATTCAGGAAAAATGTATTCACAATCACTTTTAAGCTGATTCTTTTTGTCTACCAAACAAAATTTAAGTGTGCTCTTGTTCAATGTACTGTTTGCGAGTTCGCATATTTACAAAATGAATAGCTCATCACTGTTACTTGTATTTATTTCAGTTCTATTCAGGAAAAATGTATTCACGATCAGTATTAAGCTGATTCCATTTTCTCTCAAACAAAAATTTAAGTGTGCATTTGTTTGATGTACTGTTTGTACTGCTTCAGTTTCTATAATTACAAAATGAATAGCTCATCACTATTTTTATACTATATTATAATATATAGATTTTTTATATATACCAAAAGGTGAAAAAAGAGGGAATGAGGAACAACCCAAAGAATTTCTTTTAGAAATTCTATGACATGCAGGACTCCATAACAAAAGACATAACGTCCATTTAAACAGTAAACCCTAGGACTGATATCCAATTCATGTTTCAGTGGGAGTATCCAATGTACATGAATTTGTAAGTATAGAACATCACTAAAAACAAACTTAGCTTCAATGGCAATCAGACGAGATCAACAGTTTGGAAGTTTCCTCATCCGTTACTCCAATTAACTAGTTACACAAACAAGTTTGACCTCTCTGAAAATAGAAGCTAAGAAAACAAAGAGAAAAAAATGAATTATTAAATTTATTTCATTCTTCCATTAATAATTAGGAAATCACTACAAAAGGTAACAAATAGCTGACATCCGCGATACTATAGTGGGGTTACGAATAGCAAACTGCTGAAGAACATGAAACACATGTTACATAATTAGATTTTTTTTAACTTATATCTATATATATATATATATTTCAATTTTTTTACATCAAAGAATAAAGGCATACTTTGAATTTAAATGGTGGGAAACAGCAAATCCAATCCAATTCATGCGATGATTTGGTTTTAGAGTCAGCAATTGTTGCCTTGTTTCAACAAAACCTGCCAAGTCACGCATTTGTGCCTGTAACAGAAGGCAGAAAATTGAGATGAAGCAAAAAGTATGAGGGACTTAAATAAATGCACTTATAAACAACTAAAAACAGGCGATGACAGAGTAGTTCTAAAATAGAATGACATTGCAACACAAAACATTACAAGAATAAATGGTTAGCTATTTGAAAAGCATACCATAGTCAGAGAAAGAAGAAGAAAATAAACAAAATGTACAAGCATGATTGTTGCAGTCTAATTCTTGTCTCACAATTTTAGGATTTGCAAGATAAAACCAAAACAGCCAAACTCACAACATCCATTGACGTCAATGGGAAACCTTTACAAGGTTTTGTACTTCAACCATGAATAACAAGAACTGAGCTAAGGTAATAGCAAATTGACAGACAGTGCATAGTGCAGTTCGCAAATTCCAGACTGGCAGAGCTAGGTCCAAGGAAGTTCAGAATTCATCAAAAAAGATCTTAAGGAGTCATCTGGTACTAGAACAAATTTAGCAACAATTTTTATCACCAACCCAATGAATTCCGCGAAAATACAGAAAGAGAAATCACACTGCCACTCAAAAGGTGACTCCCTGTGAGGCAGATGTTTCCTGAATATATCTTGTCACTTCACAGTCAAATCATTCAAAAACTTTTGGAAGGCAATGATGAGTACATTGCTCAAAATAACTTCCCCTTACAGAGATAGACTCTCACCCATCTAATCTCAATAATCAGCTATGAAGCATGGGTATTTCGGAAAACTTGACGTACCCGTACCGGGTACTTACCGGCGTACCATACCTCGTATGGTACTTTTGCATACGTACCAAGAACACGAAACACATACCCAAGTTTTTTCTTCTTAATTTTTGACGTACCCAGACGTACCTAGTATATATTTAAATCGTACCATACCTCAGTTGAAACAATATTTTCCTTCTACTACAGAAATAAAACTCATTTCACTAGACTTCTTTTTTATTTTTTGTTTTATGCTTAGCATGATTTTAAAATTAAACTATAGTTTATAAGTTATTTAGTATATTGACACTTAACTTTGATTTATACTTTTACTTTTGGCATTAAATGTCAATTATAGGTTGGACTTTAACAAATTAAACATTTAATTAATTTTTGCATTACTCTAAATTAAAAATAAATATTTCTTTACAAGCATACCAAGCTGTACCCGTAACTTGCCGTACCCGTACCTTATTTTTTGTGAATTTTACCGTATCGACGTACCCGTATCGTACCCGTACCCATGCTTCATAGATAATCAGGTTATTTGAAACAATGTTAGCTTTGTTCAACTTTAAGAAAATCTATCTTCTTGTTCTGCATTGTGTCCTTTCTGACACTACGCCCATTATCATTTCCTTCTCATATTTTGCTAGATAACCAAATGTTCCATTTGCAACCACATGCACAGTTGGTATACTAAAATGTGCAAGGCCAAGATCACAACATATAAATTTTCTCCTTTTTGCTGTCTCTTTAGCTATTGGACAGAAAGGATTGCAGATCTAATAAAAGAGAACTGCTCCAATGACAAAGTTCACAATTCACGTGATTTTAGTTTAGCACTTTTACCGTCAGATCTCCCTAGAGCATGTTTCATATTGTACATAATAAGGTTTAACATTACAATAGTAGTCGATTTTAATTATTTTTTCACAATTCTAAACCAAAATAAAATAAAAGGTTAAAGAAAGACTCATAACAAATAACACAGGCATAATATGCAAGTATATCAAAGTTGCAACTTAAAGTACAAAAATGGTGGTGAATACCAAAATATGAGAGACATGTCTGAGAACAGTATCTATATTTTGAAACAGGCCTACTATGTAACCCCAATTCAGTTGTAAAACTAAATTTCCCCTTTCAAACACATATTATGCACTAACACCCAGTCAGAATTCACCATGTTGTGAGGAATTGCATTCCACTAAAGTTAACGTGCTTTTGCATGGTTTATAATGAAAAATCTACACTATTTTCACATTTCTTAGGACAAAAGCATAGAAAGGTGACTACAACAGAAGAAAAATAACTAGTACATAATTCATATCCACCTGTAAGAGTGACAAGTCTCTCAATATTTCAATGTTGTCCGGATCAATCTTTAGAGCATTTCGATAACATTTAATTGCCTCCCTGTACTCTCGATCTGACCGGTACAGGAGACCATAAACATGCCAGCACACATGACTTTTGAGGTCATTCTGCATTGACAAGAGAAGTCACACTTAATATCACAAAACAAATAAACAATATTGAGGCAACAGCTATACTATTTCATGAAAAGGAACTAGGAAAATGAAAAAGAAAAGAAAACTCAAATAATCCAAACCTTTAGTCCAAGCCGGACAAGTTCATATGCTTCTCCCTTGCGGTCCATGCAATTTAATGTCAACCCCTTCATTGACAAAGTTTCTGGTAACCAGGAGAGAAAACAGATAAAATAACTGACAAGAAAATCAAAATCAAACAAGAAAAATAGTAAACATGATACATGATACATAGAAAAATAAAAATAAAAGTAAGATTTTTGTGCCGCACTTATTGTATTTGCAAACCTCTTTTTACTTATCAATAAAACACCATCAATTAAATTTTTTATGCAAAAATAGTTCACGAAAATTCTGAAAACAACTCAAAATAGCTTCCTAAAAATGGGGTATTTTCAAAACTAAAAATACCAAAAATAGGTTAACAAACAAGCTTTCCTTGTTATTTTCCATTTTTTCCTTTTAAAACAACACAAAAATTTGAGAATGATAGCAGAAACAAGCTTCCTGCCAAAAGGCAAAAACTCAAATCGCCTAACAACAACAACAATCAGAAAACAACTCCAACATACGAAATTGATGTATGTTAAGCATGATATTCTTCAATCTATGCATTGTCGTCTCAACCTCCTCAAAAGTTTGCCTACTTCTTTCTTGAGTGTTTGGTGTAAATTGCATTTCAATTAATAATCAAGTAATTATAATAATACCATACTTTTCAAACTATTTGGTAAAATAAAATATAATAATTTATGAGATCGCAACTTGAAGAATAAAGAGATTTAATCTCTCAAAGTTTCTTCTCTTGCTCCTTTCTTGATGATAGCATCAACTCTTAATCTGTCTGGCTTTTTACTTACAATTTTACCAAAGTCATAACTTCTTCCCAAGTCCATCCCAAGTGCCTAACAAAGGAAGGAAGAATATATCACAGTCGGTTGATTTTCTTCTCCACCCAAAAAATAAATCAAACCCAATTCATAACATCAAAATTCTAGTCACTACGGTTCAGATATTTGGGCCAGAAATTTTGAGCACATGCTCTGCCTAACTCCAAGGATTTAGATTTTTAAAAAAAAAAAAACTGAACTACCAATCTTCTCTGTTTAAGATAATATTAAAGTAAAGTTCATTGCTGGCACAAATTTCCTTTGGCAACCAACTAGAACTAGCATTTTTCATTTCAATGTCTATGACACCCAAGTATAACTTTTCACCAATCATGATACTCCTAAATCTATCTACATAGAAAATAAAATAAAATTAAAACAATCCATTGAGGATAGTTTTAAACCATAACATCAATTTTGATAGCTCAATTCTAGACACTTCACGTATGAAACAGGGGAAAGGGAGCATTCCTAATCCCAGCATACAAAGCTGCTTGAATGATGATGTTATTTATTCCAAGATTCACAAGCCTGCAACATAGAATTGTATGAAGTTTCACACACCTCCATGATCTGGAAACTTCTTCAGTATAGCATCTGCCGCTTTCAAGCCCTTCTTATACTGTTTGGTTTCATATGATTTCTGCAACGATGAAGACAATTAACAAAGATATTTTATTTAGCAGTAGCATTTTCTTATCCAAAATGTCGGGCATGAGTACAACTAAAAAGGTAATAACAAACAACCCGATACTGAACAAATATATAAAAAAAACGTAGCAACATGAAACTTTTACCCAGATCAAATAATTAAATTAGAAATAAGCTCGAGAATAATAGCAATTTGAAATTGAATTTATCATCACCTTTCCATGTGAGCAAGAACTTTATTATTAAAAAAAATCAAAATAAGATTTGAATATCAGCATTCCACTTTCCATAGGAAGATAATTAAAAAATGGCTGGGCAAACACAGGTGGGTTGAATTTTAACATCAAATTATGAGAGTGGAACTCTTCATATACACCAAACTATATATATATATATATAGAGAGAGAGAGAGAAAGAGATTAATACGTATATTACTATAGAGGTGCCCTAATAGATCAAAACCCTTTAGCCTGCAATGCTAATATAGGCTAATTGGAATATGGGTTCTAAAAAATTTTGCAGGCTTTTTCATTTAAGAAATCAGAAAATGCCACAGGGATGTTGGAAGCTTGTTGTATTAGGAGTTAGGACATCAGTCACTTTTTGGTGGTTCAATGAAGCTACAAGCCCTAAAAATTTCAGCACAAGATTATAAACATAGAAGGTAGAAATTGGATGGCATCCAACCTCCAAAACTTAAATGTGTACGGCATAACATAACGTAATGCATCAGCTCAGCATTGTGTAATCAGAGTCCTCGCATGAGCAAAAATATATAACCACACATGCAACATCGAGTCTGGATCCTCTGCCGCTCTCTTCTACGGCCCTTCATGCGGCACCCCAAAACGACGTTTTGGGGCCAAATTTCAATTAAAAAAAAAAGGACAGAACAACAGTTCTCTCTTCACTGCCTTCTCTTCCCTCTCTCTCCTCTTCTCCAAAACCTCTCAAACTCTGATACCCACCTCTCTCTTCACTACCTTCTCTTCTTCCCACTCCAAGAAATGGCGAGGCCATTCCCGTCCTCCTCTCAATCGCACCAACAAGAACAACAGTTGTTTGAGAGAGACTGGGAAGAGAGAGAAACAGTTCTTTCAGGTATGTCTGTTTCTATGCCTATATATATATATATATATGATTTTGTGGTATTCTTGGTTCTTACTTTGTGGGTTTTGATTTTCATTTCCTAATCTTAACTGGGTCTATCTTAAATTTTGGATTTTGTTTGATTAGTCTGTAAATGAAAAATGTTCTAGAATTTTTGTAAGATTTTGTTAGATATATATATATATATGATTTTGTGGTATTCTTGGTTCTTGCTTTGTGGGTTTTGATTTTCATTTCCTAATCTTAACTGGGTTTATCTCAAATTTTGGGTTTGCTTTGATTAGTCTGTAAATGAAAAATTTTCCAGAATTTTTGTTAGATTTAATGTTGGTGCCATGTATTAATTTTGTTAGATTTTTTCGCTTTAGTGTTTTCAAGAACTGGACTTGTGGAATCCTTCCTTCTTCTCCCTTCTTTCTTCTTCTCCCTTCTCTGGTTTTGCTCTTGTTCTGTTCTGTTTTTCTTTTTTTTTTTAATTGAAATTTGGCCCCAAAACGACGTCGTTTTGGGGCGCCGCACGAAAGGCCGTAAGAGAGTGCGGCCGAGGATCCGGACTCATGTAACATCACGCATGTGGGATAAAGGAAGCATGAAACAATTCCTACTTGAATAGTAAATTTCAACTTCATTTCCCCAACAAGTCTAGTTAGTAGTCTTACATGCATAACCCCCACAACCAAATTATAATCAAAGTCATTTTTCATTCAACGTAAAGTTGTTCTCATGAATATTTTACATGAAATATAAAACCTTTATTCCCATTTGTTAGGAAACAGTTTTACAGCAAACTAGGGGACATCTTGTCATGTCTGTTCAAGTTATCTATATATACATCTAAATTTGCCCTAAAAATCTAATGTTCCATTGAGTTATCAGAATATGTTTTCTGAAACAAAAATAATAATAATAAAAAAATAATAATTTGGTCAGAAAAATTAGTAGGTGTTCAATTTTTACTTTTTTTCTTTAATTTCAAAAATTCTGAAAAATCAACCAAAACAGAGCACCCAGTAAAATGCCTTACAGGGATGGAAACAGAACCTATGAGTTTCATAAACAAAGATTGAGTCTTTGAGTTAAACACATTCTCAACGCTCAAAAAAAACACCAAATTGCACAGCGGACAGGAGTACTAATAATCCAGATGAAGTCAAAGAAACACAATTAAACAAGCATTAATAGAACAACATCTAGGGTTCTAGTAAGCGAGATTGAATAAGACAGTAATTGAACTTCGACCCTATAATTGCAATATATGTATAGAAAAAGGTAGAGAGAGAGAGAGACAGAGAACTTACGACGATGAGTTTGAAGAGGTTGGCCTCTTTGGGAGGAAGAGAAGCGCCCATTGTTTCAGAGAGAGAGAGAGAGACGTGAAGAAGTTGGGAAATCGAGATTAAGGTATGGGGAGAGTCTATTCAAGGGCTGCGCTGAGAGAGAGAGATTAGAACAGTGGCGGTGGCGGTGGCGGTGGCGGTGGCGGTGGCGGTGGCGTGCGTGGCGATTATCTACTGCAACCCTACTGAGAAGAACTAACACACAAAGTCTATAAGCAAGCGAAGTAAAACCTCTCACGGACATTTCCGTAATTCTAAGGGATTGTTTGGTGTTTGCTTATTTAGGGGTTGTTTGGGGAGTTTTTTTTTTTTTTAATATTCTAAAAAAGCAATTTAGAGAATTGATCTACTTTTTAAATTATTTGAGAAACTAATTTATTTTTTAAAATCACATTTTAAAAATATAATTTTAATCTTAAAATCGTATGTTGAAAATATAATTTATGATGATATGGACTTCACTTTTTGAAATTACATTTTCAACATGTGATTTTAATGTGAAATTACATGTTGAAAATGTAATTTCAATTTCAATTTCAATTTCAAAATTGCATTTTTTAAAATGTGATTTTAAAAAGCAAGTGAGTTTTTTAAATAGTTTAAAAAGTGAGTCAATTCTTTAAATTAATTTTTTTTATAATATTATAAATTAAAAAAAAAACTCGTTGTTTGGGAAGTTTAGTATATTTTTTTGATTTTTTATCAAAAATATATTTATATATATATAATGGGAATTAGGATTGAAGTGATCTAACTTAAATAAGAGATGTGTATCTCAAATAATATGATTGTGACCCAAATAAGAAAGAAAAATTTGGCCAAAACTCTTCCATTGTGCCCTTCTTTAATAAAAATGATAGCTTAATTTATTTTGCTTTATGAATCCCCTAAGAATGAGGCACGCAATTGAGTAAGGACAGAATAAATTTTCTGTGTTTTCTTTCCTAGACAATATTACTCATGCATATATATATCTCACACATTTGAAATTTGCATTAACGAGAATTCCTTAGTTTGTAATTATTGGAGAAATCCTTCTCTGTTTGGGATTTGGTAGTGCTATCGAATTATTTTTGAAAGTTTTAAAATCTATGGTCTTCTTTATTCATCAATCACCGAAGACGAAGCTCATAAGCCATAATTTAATTGTCTGGGTTCAAAGAAATATATAAGAAGAAAAGGTAATCATTATTTGTTTCTTCTAATGTACCTTAAACTAGGCTTATGCTAACATCATTATTTATCAATTCAATAATTTATCACTTTTATTTTATTTTACAAGTTTAGAAATGTTGTATATCTGTATTTTTCGTTCGTTCATCTAATATGTACTCGGTTTTTTGTAAAGTAAAATTTTACTTTAGTTAACAACAATAAACTTTGATTGCTGATAGGGCTGTGCAAAATACCGCCCAATTCGCTAAAACCGCACCAATCCGCATCGCTCTAATCACTAATCGCAGTTTGAATTTTAATATTTATAATCCGCCAATCAAACCGCTCTGCTCCACTATAGTTAATACATATATATTTTTTAACCTCCAATGAAATGTCAATATAAAAATCAATCTGGGAGAGATTTAAGATATGAAATTTATTACAAATTAATAGTCATATATACGAAACATATTATGTAAAATTACTTTACATTATGTATCTAAAAAATATTATACAAATTAGTATTATATATTGTGCAAATGTATGATAATTAGTTAGAATATTCTTCAATCCGCCAAAAACTGCCAAATCGCAATTTGTCAATATGCTAATCCACCAACCCGCCATTCGATTTGTAATTTGACTCTCAAACTGTCCGAACTGTACCGCACACACCCCTAATTGATATATGCTTAACGACAGTAATTTTACTATGAAATATAGTCAAATTTTACTCTGACTGATGCTGCAATTTCGCTTACTATAGTAATGACGGAGTAAAATTTTGTGAAACAGAGTAAAGTTTTACTGTCTATTAGGGGTGAGCATGGTTCGGATTGGACCGGATTGGAGTAAAACCAGGACCAATCCGTTATCTACGGTTTCTAAAAAATTGGAACCACAGAGTAAAGTTTTACTATCTCTGTCAATTTCGATGGTAAGCTTTTTTATAAAGAATTTTATACTCAACCTAGATTTTGTTTGATAGATCTTGATAAGAGAATTCTAAAAATATAAATTTTATTAAAAATCGACATTTAGATCAAAAGTTGTATCATTTTTAAGTTTAAAATATTAAATTAGTCACTAAGGATATTTTGGAAATAATCATAACTGCTGGACTTTTCAAAGAATATTTTTTTTGTTTGTCCTTAATGCATTAAAGGTTTATTATGAGGGACTTTTGGCTAAATCTCTCAATAAGATAATGTACAAAAATAACATGTACTATTTTAGCACATGCCAAACAACATCATAGTATATCTTTTAGTTTTTTACGAAAAAAATATGTAAAAAAATATAAGAATATATGTAAAAAAATAAAAAAAATAATATAACTTAAATAAATACACTTATTTAATATATTCCCAAACAACTCTTAAGTTGTGGGCAACCACTATTGCCCGAGCTTCTATGCTATTGCTCGAGCTTCTATATGCATAGAGTGACCTTAGGCCTATTTTAAAAGGGGAAAAAAATGTTTTTGACTTATTTTTAAAAAGTTGAAGATAGTGTTTGGTTTAGTTTTAGAATTATGATTTGATAATGGAATTGTATTTTAAGTTTGTGAGCTGTTGAATCATGATTTGAAAATAAAAAAAATTGTTTTGTTATGCTTTCTGAATTGAATTTTGAATTTTGAATTTTTTAAATGAGTTTTGAAATGAGAAAAATTGTTTGATTATGAGTTTTCAAAAGAGTTTTCAAAAGGGATTGGTTTCCCTCAAATCTATGATCGAACTAGAGGGTATTGTTAGCCTCGTAGGGGCCTACCACGGGTCCTGTTTCAATAATCCGAAACGTTTAATGTGTAAATCTCGTCGAGTACTATATGCTTGTAAAAAATCATATTGATCGGATATCAATATTTATTTTATCTGATCAGATTTATGTCAACTGTTTATTTTTTCACCATCCATTTTTTTATACAAATTTGATTTGATCACTTAGCTATCGATATCCGATCAATGTGATTTTTTACAAGTATATAGTATTCAACAAGTTCTACATATTGCACGGTTCATATTATCAAAACGAGACCTGTGGTGGGCTCTCACGTGCCCAACAGCACGCTACAGTCCGATCATAGACTAGAGGGAAGCCAAACCCTTTTCCAAAAAATTCAAAAAATATATTTTTATTTAAAATATTTAAAAATTTATTTTTTGTGTAAAAAAAATATTCAGCTAGTGCTTTAAAATTACTTTTCATTGTATATTTGGTTGTTTTTTTTAATTGTTTTGTTTAAAAACGACCTAAAAACTATTTTTTATATTTAAAAAATATCAAAAACAAATATAAATTTTTTGTTTTCAAATAACATTTACAATTGAAAAAAAAAATTTGATCTGGTCAACCAACTGGATGTTCGGGTAGGCCCAATTCGCAAATTCAAAATTCAAAAACTCAACTCTGACAAACATGCAGTGGAATGTGTATTCAAATGTGGCCTTAAAATCAATTTTTGAAAACTTAAATCAAGCATAACATCAAATATAAGAGTGAAATTATGATTTGAAACTTAAACAGATCCAAAAAGTTTGTTTATCTGACCAAAAAATTATTTGAGAAGTTAGAAATAAACCAACAAGTAAAATTATCAAAATAGTCTTACGTATTTTGAAAAAAAAAATAAAAAAACTATTTATTTCAATCTTCCCAATATAGGTCTAAGACCATTTATAATGACTCATCAGATGCATCACCAAATTCAAATTTGGTGAAAAAGAAGTACTTTTTATGCTCCAATGGTTTCACCAAAACAGTATCAATTTGAGAAAATGTCAAATATTTCACCAAATTGAGAATCTGGGAAGCGTTCATCAATTTCCTGTGCAAGACCGTTGGATCTGACACACCAAACAACCGGTCGGACGTTCGGCCGGTTGTCCCCCCGATCATCTAGTTACTTCAACAAAGAATAGCTTTTTTGTCTATCTCACCCACGAACTCTGTTTTTCATTTTTCTCCCCCGGTCATCCTTGATTTTCATTTTTCTTGAATCACGAACTCTGTTTTTTACTTGGGTTTTGATTTATTCAATCTATGCTGATCAATATATCGATCTATGTCTGTAAAACCCACTTGGGTTTTTATGGGTTTTTTCTTTTTTTGATATGGACTAGTTCAAATTTTATTCTTCTTTTGTTCTCTGGTTCGATTTTACGTGAACCCTTTGAGAGGTCCGTTTGTTTATTACATCTGTAAATTATTTGTGGTGTTTAGAGACTTGTGGGTTTGCTTTTCTTTCAATTTTTAATTTCATTTGCTTTGAGATTTTGATTTTCTGGGGAATTTGTCAGGTTTTATGAGAAAAAAACAAGTATACAAAAGAAAGGAAATTATAGAAAATCTGGGTTGACAATTGATGAAATGGGTTGTATAACCGACCCTCACGATGGTAAATCATACCAACCACACACACACACACTCTCTCTCTCAAATAACTCAGATGATGGATTTGGAACCCACTGTGAAAAGAAGCAATTTACAACAACTTTCATTTGCTATTGATGGTTGATCGACCGGACATCCGGCCAGTTGTCCACCCGGACGACCGGTGGTTTGATGATAGCACTGTTGGAGTGACTCATATTAGATAGAGGATTTCGTACTTTTCTTACTCAAATTTGATAAATTATTGTCACGACCCAAACTCGTCTCTATGGGTTTAGCATCGTAATCGGCCAGTAATCCTTGGATTACCAAAGGCCTCTGAACAGGATAACATAATGTAGGGTTGCGAAAGCAAATGTACAAAATTAACATAGTCCGTAGAGTTGTGCAGACATACATAGGACATAAAGTTTTCAAAACAAACTTATATATATACAGATGTGACGTCAAAAATACATTAGTCTAACATCATCCAATTATACAGATAAGGTCAAAGGGTACTTAGCTCAAGTACAAATATACAAAACAAGCTCAACTAAAGTCTTGATATAATCCTCTCAAAAGGAACCTCCTCAGGAAGCACGGTAGTTGGCTGACAAAACAGAAACATAGGCTGTGACAACCCTCGCCACTGTTTACTGATAACACCACTGATTACTGCTAAACTGAGACTGATCATGATAAGTAATTGAATTGATTAAAATTTTGAGTTAATTGATTGAGTGTATTAGTTTAAATGCATGTCTATCTGTTTGTCTGCTAAACTATCTGTTCATGTGATATGTTTAAACTGCAAATTGAAGGCCTTATCGGCGGCCGAATCTGAAATTGATGGATGTTTTATGCTCGTTAGAATTTATGTAATTTTATGGTATATTTAATTGAAATGTGATTGGGTATGATTAAATTAGATTTAATAATGGTAAATTACAAGAGTTGGCCTTAATTACCAAATTGCCATCTAGTGGATTTATATAGGCAACCTCTCTCCACTTTATACATGTTGATACAACATTTCTTTAGCTCATTTCCTAGAGCAAAATCGACTAGAGAGAGAGGGAATTGGGAGAAAATAGAATTCATCAAAGTTTGCTTGGAGAATTTGAAGGAGAATTGCATATTGAGCTTCTACATCTTGAACTTAAGACATAAGGTAGAGAATTTCCCTTCTTGATCATGAAATTTAGTAGATTCTTGCATGGTACATGGTGATTGAGTGAGTTGAGTCAAGAATTGGATTAAATTGTTGAATTGGAGCTTGATTCATGCATGCATGTGCATATCTTGAAGTTTTGAGGTTGTTTTCATGGGAATTGCTTCATGCATGTCCATCTTTTGACCATAGCCCATGATTTCATCTTGTTTTTGAAAGAATTGACTCTTAGAAGCATGAATTGGAAGCTTTGAAGTTGGTTAAATTCATGCATGTTGCATGTTCATCATTTTCTTGAATTATTGTTGAATTTGTGTTTAATTGAACTACCTTTGGGTTTTGATTTCTCAAATTGACCTTTGAAACATGTAATATTATGGGTTTTGAAGTGTTTTCCAGAAAATTAGCCCAAGATGATCGATTTTGGTGCATTAAAATTGAGTTTTGAGCTTGAGGATCAAATTTGGAATTTCCAGATTTTGGACTCACGCTCGAGCGGGGGATTCCACGCTCGAGCGTACCTACTGAATTCATGCAGTCCGCTCGAGCAGGGAAAGTGACGCTCGAGCGTGAAATGCGTGTATCCAGTACTTTGCATGTTTTTACAGTCCGCTCGAGCAGGGGAATGCACGCTCGAGCGAGGACTTATGTCTTACGCTTGAGCGGGTATCGAGCGTGAATTTCGTGTATCCAGTACTTTTGTCGTGTTTTACAGTTCACTCGAGCGTGGAAAGTGACGCTCAAGCGGGGATCCTTTGTCTGCATGTCCGCTCGAGTGTAAAAACCCACGCTCGAGCGGGACCCCTGTTTTTTGAAAATTCTAAAAAGTATTTTAAAGTGCATCTTTGCATCCTCATTCCATCATAGGCATTCCTAGGCTTAGTTTAAGGCATCTTAATGGGGATATTGATGTAGAACCACACCGAGTCAAGATAGAGATTAAGTTATTATTTCCCAACTGCGTAGCTTAGTGTGTGTTCACTCTGTAACTGTGTAGGGTTGGCATCCGAGGACGCGTACTAGCTTAGCCCAAAACTCTGTGAGTAACAATGTTATAAAGATATGTTCAATTGAGATTATTTTCTAAACAATGACTTTACTGCTTTATGAAATGACACTGTTTACTGAATGAATGTTTGTCCTATTTGTGAACTGTATTCGTGGCATCCATGGCAATTTATTGTTACTGAACTGTTACTGCTACTGTTACAAAGATCTCTGTCGGTTCCCATGTTTGGAACCATTACTGATGGCCATCATTGACTGCTTGGTCTGTTAAGACCTATTGTACTGTTTTGCTATTGGATGTACCACATATGACTATTATAGTTTCTAAATGACTGTTATGGCATTAATTATGAGCCACAAACTGAATGACTGTTATACCGATAAATAACTGTTTTCAATACTGAAAGGACATTCATTCTTAACCTCTTTACGCATATGTTATTCACTGGGCTTTAGCTCACTGCTTATATATATATGTAGGTGTACAAGAACCAGACCGTTGCTAGGAGCGTCGGGCTAAGCTCCCGTTTTGTCAAAGCCAACCACCGTGCCTCATTGCGAGGTTCAAAGTCCTTCAAGCTAGGGCTTTTTGGGGTGTTTTAGTTTTTCCCCTTTATGTATCTGGTTTTGTAACACTGTATAGACTGACATGTGTACCCGTACTGTACTGTTATGGTAGGGATTTGGTCCATAACCTGAACACCTGTAAATGATATATGGATGTATGTATATACTGTTTTGTTTCTGAATGTGAATATATATGAAAAATCTTTTTGCATACAGACTGTCACAGCTCATTGGACATCTTTTAATTACTGTTTTAGCTTCCACCAGCCCCTGTACTCTGTATTACTGTTTTACTGTTAAGTAGGCCTTCGGTAATCTTGGATTACTGGCTGGTTACGGTGCTAAACCCATAGGGGCGGGTTTGGGTCGTGACAAAGTGGTATCAAAGCGATACTAAACCACGAGTTATACCGCACACACGTGTCCAAATGAGCTATAGGATGTCCTAGAAAAGTGAATGGGGCATTGCATGAGCATTGATAAGTGTGTGTAGCCATGACATGAATATCTATGCTAATGTGCTAATGTGTTTACGTATGCAACTGCCTATGTTTATAATTGCCATAATTGTCTATAGTGAAATGGATAACGCAAGAACTACTGATGAATCTGAATCATCTGAGGCTAGAATGGCAAGGCTAGAGAGAACAGTGGAAATGTTGACTGAGGCCTTAAGGCTGCAACAACAGAACCAACAGCCCCCACCTCCTCCAGTACAGCCGGAGCCACCTGTTAATGATGATATAATAGCTCTGACACAAAAGTTTAGTGAGATGAAACCGCCATCCTTTCGGGGAGGCCTTGAACCCTTAAAGGCCGAAACGTGGGTGCTTGAAACAGAAAAGTTATTTGAAGTCTTTCTGTGTTCTGAAGCACACAAAGTGCTACTGGCTACCTTCACCTTACAAGAAGAGGCCAGAAGGTGGTGGATGCTAGTCCGTGACACCGACACCGTTATGACTTGGGCTTAGTTTAAGGGAGCCTTATTTGAGAAATACTTCCCACAGTGTGTCAGGGATAGAAAGGTGACTGAATTTGAACAACTAAAATAAGGTACCATGTCCATGGCTGAGTATGAGTCAAAGTTTACTGAACTCGCCAGATATGCACCGCACATGGTTGACATTGACTACAAGAAGGCCAGGAAATTTGAAGGCGGCCTTAATGTGGAAATACTGGACAGAATTAATGTTTTGAAACTGCTTAAGTATGTGGATGTTCTTGACCGAGCAATTATAGCTGAGTCGAACATTGAAGCATTGAAACAGACTGAAACACCAACGTCTGAATGGCGTGGTAAGAGACAGGATTTTAAATTCAAAAAAGGCAGAAACAATTCATCGAATAAGAAGCAGAATACAGGGTCAACAACCAGTTCCAGTTAGGGAAGTGGTTCTATACCACCCTGTTCTGAATGTGGTAAGAAACACAAGGGGGTTTGTTATAAAGTCTCTGGTGCTTGTTATAGGTGTGGCAAGGTGGGCCACATGGTTAAAGATTGCCCTTCCACTCCTCTGGGCAACAGTAAAGTTGCAGCCAGCGCCGTAGCATCAACTGCTGCACCAAAACCCAACCCTAAAGCTACTGGGAAAGAGCCTATGAGGCAAGGCCGAGCATTTGCACTCATACCGGGAGACGTACAAAATACCGAAACCGTCGTGTCAGGTATACTCTCAATTTGTGCTCAAAATGGGTATGTTTTGATTGATTCGGGGTCTACACATTCATATGTATCGCATGCTTTTTTGCGAAAATTGAATAGACCATTGGAACCCATGAACTATCTGTTAGCTGTATCTTCACCTGTTGGGGGATCCATGCCTTGTTCTTATATGTACCTTGCATGTGAAATTATTGTTGCTCTCAATTTGTGCTCAAAATGGGTATGTTTTGATTGATTCGGGGTCTACACATTCATATGTATCGCATGCTTTTTTGCGAAAATTGAATAGACCATTGGAACCCATGAACTATCTGTTAGCTGTATCTTCACCTGTTGGGGGATCCATGCCTTGTGCTTATATGTACTGTTAAAATCTACCATCACCTACTCCACCTACTACACCTACCACCACCTACTACCACCTACTACACACCTACCACTACCACCTACTACCACCTACTCCACTACATCTCCTATATAAGGAGTCCCTCACCATTTGTAATTTATAAAATATACAACAATCAATAATACATCAAATTTAACATGGTATCAGAGCAGGTTTAGAACCTCATATTTTCGCTTCACTGGCGGGCGGCAACCTCACCTTAGCCGTCCGCCGGACCTCAACCTATTCCGCTTATTTTCTACATATACCAAAAACAAAAACCCATTACTACTCACAAGCTCATTCAGAAAAATCAACAATGGCTTCATTTGCTAGTAACCATCTAGTTACAAGACTAGTCCTATTATTTTCTCTCTTCTGTTTCACCTCTGCAACGAGGCGACTCACTGAGTCAACCCAAGATCAGAACCCAGATATCTTCCAATACCACAATGGCCCTCTTTTGAGTGGCAAAATTTCAATCAATCTCATTTGGTATGGCAACTTCAAGCCTTCACAACGAGCAATTATCTCAGATTTCATTGCCTCCCTATCTTCAACTTCGAAACCCATGACAGACCAACCATCAGTCGCCACGTGGTGGAAGAACACCGAGAAATACTACTACAACCGTCTGATCAACTCCAAGAAAGCCTCTTCTCTGGGCCTCTCTACCGGCAATCAAGTATTGGATGAGAATTACTCGATGGGTAAATCACTCACCAGTCAACAGATCGAACGGTTGGCAGCGAAGGGCGATCAGTACAACGCCATCAACATTGTGCTAACATCGTCCGATGTGATCGTTGATGGGTTCTGCTCCAGCAGGTGCGGGACGCACGGGTCTTCCAACTCTGCTCAAAGCCCCCGAGATCCACAACCTCTCCCAGATCTGGCGACGGAGATCGTGATTCCGGTGTGCACGGTGGTCGGAATCGTGTTCTCACTGGTCTAGTGTTTTTTGGTCTCTCAGGTAAAGCTCTCTGCGGGCCGAAACGCTTCGTCAACGACGAAGAACAAGAATGGGTACACTGATTGCCTGATTGCAGAAGATGAAGGTGTCAATGAACACAATGTCGTCGCTAAGTGTGCTGAGATCCAGAATGCTATATCCGAAGAGAGAGAGAGGAGAGGACGCGTGAGAAATGAGGTGGTCAAACTGGTCTTGTTCCCCATCTTTTCATATAACACATCATCCCTAATTACGCAGTCCAACCTCACCATCTCTCTCCACTTTACCACATGAGTTGGTTCCCACTTTTCATCATCCATATGTTCACATTCTCATTTCTTTTATCTATTTCTTTTATTTTTTAATTCCTTCCCCTCTCCAATACAATAATTCTCCACTACCTCGGCATATGCAAACCCATCTCTCTCTCTCTTGGCGCCTGGTCTCTGGCACGAACTGCTTTGGAGATGAAGCGTGCACATGCTTTCCATTCATCTATTATTATTATTATTATTATTATTATTATTATTGTTATTATTCAACACAAATCAAAAAAAAAAAAACGAAAAAAAAAAAAAAAAAAAAAAAAAAAAAAACGAACTGCACACCAACCTCATTTTATTCATGTCGGGACTGCACCCCGATCCCATTTTACACCACACAAAAAAAAAAAAAAAAAAACAACACAAAACAAAAAACAACAACACCGAACAGTGGGATTTTTCTTCTCTACTCTGCCGCAGGTCTTTTTTCTTCTTGCATCGTCCTGGTGGCCCTTGCGGTGTTGCTCTGTGTTTCCCACTCACTGGGCACGATCTTACTCCCTGCATCCTCCACTGCATGCATATGGTGGAGCCTCAAATCGGAACATCACGGTGGCCTTCCGCTTCAGCTCCTTATTTTCCGCCTTTAAGCACATTATCTCTGCTCGCGGCATCCTTATACATGCGTTGGAGGCAGAGCCAGTTGGGCGTTTAAACTGCTGCAGCCTCATTTGTCCTAACTCTGCAGCCGGTGCGACAGAGTTTGCTGACCGCCGTCATGGTCTCCACCACATGACTTCAAAGTATACTGATGTAGCCTCAATATCAGTTTGCCACTGCCATTTTTTTGCTCCACCGAGACCGCATCGGAAAGTTCAACGGAGCAAAACCAGAGCGCTGGTTGAGTCACTGGCCACCGCACCAGTTATCTCTCTTGTGACTCGTTGAGGTCGGGAAAGAGAGAGTTGAGCAGACCACGGGACGAAGAGGCCATATTTTGGGTAGGCTGAAGCGGGAAGACGAGGCAATGTTATGCCGTTTGGCTGAGTGTTTCAGAGAAGGGTTGGTTACAGAATGGCAACAGAGTGTTCCAGAATCTCTTTCTCAGAAACGGAAGAGTTTTTTCAAAGGATTTTCGGCGGTTTCAGACTGGTTTGCACAGCCTCCGCCTCAACCTTGGTTAAATAGCCGAGGCAGACACGCGCATCATGCGCCTCTCGGCGCTCGCCGACAACATGGGCGCTCCTTTTAATAGGCACGCCTTTTGATGGCACGCCTTTTTATAGATTGGGCACGCCTTTTAATGGCACGCCTTTTGATAGATTGGGCACACCTTTTGAGGGTGCGACTTTTTAGGGGTCCGACAAGACTCTGTAAACTGTCCCGACATTGATTCCGGTTAGCTCCTTCATGGGTCCGACAAGACTCTGTAAACTGTCCCGACATTGATTCCGGTTAGTTTCTACAAGGGTCCGACAAGACTCTGTAAACTGTCCCGACATTGATTCCGGTTAGCTACCTTGCATGTGAAATTATTGTTGGAGATGCACATTTGTATATTGATTTACTGCCATTGAATATAGATCATTTTGATGTGATATTGGGAATGGACTGGTTAACGAAATATCATGCTACCATAGACTGTGTAACAAAACAAGTTATTTTCCGTCCACCCGGACTGCCTGAATTTGTGTTTAACGGAGTAGGAGTAGTACATCCCCCATATCTGATTTCATCAATAAAAGCTCTTAAACTGATTAGAAAGGGGTGTAAAGGGTATCTATGTTCTGTATTGACTGTACCAACTGATGATAAAACTGATGTGAACAGTATTCCTATAGTTAGAGAATTCCCAGATGTTTTTCTAGATGATCTGCCAGGGGATTTGATTGATAGGGAGATTGAGTTCACCATTTATGTGATTCCGGGTACGCAGCCGATATCTAAAGCTCCTTACAGAATGGCACTGACTGAATTGAAAGAACTGAATATTCAGCTACAAGAGTTATTAGATAAGAAGTTCATCAGGCTCAGTACTTCACAGTGGGGCGCTTCAGTTTTGTTTGCAAAGAAGAAAGACGGCTCACTAAGACTCTGCATTGACTACCGAGAACTGAACAAGGTAACAGTGAAAAATAAATATCCATTGCCTTGCATTGATAATTTATTTGACCAGTTACAGGGTGCCCAAGTGTTCTCCAAAATTGATTTGAGATCTGGATACCACCAGTTGAAAGTCAAGACAAGGGATGTTGAAAAGACTGCCTTTCGAACGAGCTACGGACATTACGAATTTCTTGTTATGCTTTTCGGAGTTACCAATGCACCTGCTGCATATGTGGACCTTATGAACAAAATTTTCAAACCATACCTTGATGACTTTATTGTTATATTCATAGATGAGATATTGATTTATTCCAAAAGCACGGAAAAACATGAACGCCATTTGAATATTGCCCTACAGACCCTAAGAGAATAGAAACTCTATGCAAAACTAACTAAATGTGAATTTTGGCTAGACAGTATGATGTTTTTGGGACATGTGATCAATAAGGATGGTATTACAGTTGACCCACAGAAAATTGAAGCAGTAGTGAACTGGCCTAGACCAACAAATGTCACCGAAGTCTGAAGTTTTCTAGGCTTAGCTGGGTATTACAGAAGGTTTGTCAAAGATTTCTCCAAAATTGCCCTACCACTGACACAGCTGACTCAGAAGGGGATATCATTTGACTGGACCGACCAGAGGGAATCGGCTTTTCAAGAGTTGAAAACTCGACTAGTGACTGCACCGATTCTCACCTTACCCTCAGGTACGGATGGTTATACCGTATATAGTGATGCTTCTTATAAAGGTTTGGGATGTGTTTTAATGCAGAATAACAAAGTTATTGCATATGTTTCCCAATAACTGAGACCGCATGAAAAAAACTACCCGACCCATGACTTGGAACTTGCTGCAGTAGTGTTTACACTGAAAATCTGGCATCACTATCTTTATGGGGCGACATGTGCAATGTATACAGATCACAAGAGTTTGAAATACTTTTTCACATAGAAAAAACTGAACATGAGGCAGCGGAGATGGTTAAAACTGATAAAAGATTATGACCTGCAAATTTTGTACCATCCAGGAAAAGCTAACACCGTTGTTGATGCACTGAGTCGAAAATCGATTGGAAATTTAGCTTGTTTACTCACCGGGCAGAGAGAATTGCTATGTGACCTTGAAAGACTTGAAATTGAGATTGTTTTGCGTGAATAAGGTGGAACAATAGCCATTATTGCTGTTCAACCGACACTTGTAGACGCGCCCGCGTGGGCCTCATGCTACTACAGTTCGGACTCGATTTGTGTCACGGTTCTAAATCTGAACCAAAGAGTCCAAATCCGGAAAATC